GACGGAGAGGCCAAGGCCAGGCTGGGAACGGGGGGTGGAGAGAATTACGGGGCGGGGGGCGGGGGGTGCGGTTTATTTTCTCCTTCATGCTGCAAAGTCTCCCCGCGTCCTGAGGGTCAGGATCCAGATAGAGGGGGGCGGCCCCGCACCCAGGGCCACCTGCCCACCCGCACACCTGCTTGTCCACGAACTCCCGGGTGTCCTTCTCGATGTGGCCCTCATAGAGGTTGGTGGCCATGCTCATGAGCCCAATCTTGGACAGGCCGAAGTCGGTCAGCTTGATGTGGCCAAGTGAGGTGATGAGCAGGCTGTGGGTGGGCGGGTGGTGCACTCAGGGCTGGGGGGCCCGAGGTGCCTGGCTTCTCATGCCGCCCCGGAACCTGGTGCCACCCCAGGTGGGCTGAGGTCCAGCCAGGGCGGCTTAACTCCCCCAAGGGGGTCGGAAAGCACTTCCCGAGCGTGGGCACATCATCACGAGGACCGACAGGTCTTGGGCAATACTGCCAATCTGGCAAACGTCTCGGTGCACCCACCGGATGCATCTGGTGTCGCTACTGAGCACCTACTGTATACTCCGCTGTTGGAATTTACATCTCCCGAGAATCATACCATCTCCCCGCTGTGCATGAAAACGTCTGAAACCCACAGTATATTTTTGCACACGTGGCCATTTTTTGTTTTCACTAAATGCTTTCTTTGCAAGCCTTCGTTATTTACCTTTCCTGTCGAAAAACGAACATACCTCGAGCAGCTGCTGTATACAGAAATATTTCTGTGCACCTCCTGAGGGCACCCGTTTTTAAAACCCTGTACACCTCCCATGCACCCTGCTGTTCTAGTTTTCCCGTCGGCTCAAGGATATAAACGTCTTGCCAGATGACAGAACCATACGCACCACCTTTAGAAAGTCGCGGTTTCGCGCACCTCCTGGTACCTCGGCTGCTTAATTTCTGGAGAGCTGCGTATAGCCAAGTTGTTTGATAAACCGTTTACTTGGCACAGAACTGCATCCACGGACTCTCTAAAGGAACGATTCTGTGCACCCGCTGTCTTTAAAAAGTTCTGGGGGTGCCGTGGTGGCTCAGTGGGTTAAGTGTCCAAGTTCGGCTCAGGTCATGATCTCACGGTTTGTGGGTTCGAGCCCCGCGTCGGGCTCTGTGCTGACCGCTTGGAGCCTGGAGCCTGCTTTGGATTCTGTTTCCTCTCTCTCTGCCCCTCCCCTGCTCGCGCACTCTCTCTCTCTCTAAAAAATAGGTAAACTTTAAAAAAAAAAAAAACAAAAAAACCCTTTCCTTCTTACAAATGAAATGATAATGAAATGATCCGATGCCTGGGATATGCTTCAAATTGCCCGGCATGGGGGGTGGGGGGACCCAGGGATGGGGAGGAAGCAGGATTGGCCAAGCGTTGGAAGCTGTGGAAACGGGTTGAACGTGGGGAGTGGACGGGGGGGCACTGGACCCTTCCTTCTGTTCTGGGCTGAGTTATGTACCTCCAAAGTCACATGTTGACGTCCGGACCTCTAGTGACTACGAACGTGACCTTATTTGGAGATGGGATTGTTGTGTGATTAGTTAAGAGGAGGACGTCCCTGAGTACAGTGACCCCTCATCCAGTATGACTGGTGTCCTTACAGGAACGGAATTTGGACCCAGACATGCAGAGGGAGGACGCCATGTGAAGAGCGGGGCAATGTCGCCACAAGCCAAGAAATCACCAGAAGCTGGGGGAGGGTCCTGGAAGAGATCCTTCCCTGGGGACTTCAGAGGGAGCCCTGATGCTACCTCGATCTTGGACTTCTGGCCTCCAGAACTGTGAGAATAAACTTCTATTGTTTAAGCCGCCCAGTTCTGTGCTACTTTGCTCTGACAGCCCCAGTGAATGAATGCGCCTTCTCTTGACTTTGGGATGTACTTGGAATTTTCCAAAGTGAAAGGCGAAAATATCTCTCTCGCGTGTCTATCGTGTGCGCCTGTCTCCCTGAACCCTCTGGGGCTGGGCACCGGCCTGTGCCACTTTGCAGATGGGGGTCCCAAGCCTGGGAGGGGCAGGTGCTGCCTTGGGGTCACTCAGGGACCCCACCCCACTCTAGGATGATCCACAGACCTGACGGCACAGAGCATATTGACAAGTGTTGCGCACAGAGGCCCAGGTACATGGCAGGTGCCAAATACACACTTTATTTTCTAAGCCGCTGGCAAACTACAAGACGCCTGAAAACGTGCAGCCTCTTAATGCTGATGTTCACACCCCCATGCAGCAAGAACCTAAGAAACTCAAGCTCCTTGCCTGGTATCCAGACGGCACTTGATATCAAGAGTAGCCCCTTGCTCTATAAACAGCAGGTGCTCAGTTAATGCAGGGGAGAGTGCCTTGCAAATTATGTAGGGGTTATAAAGCACGATGGATTATTCACACACATGTCTCACGGTCGCCCACAGAGGACCTGGCATGCAGTAGGTGCTTATTAGGTGCCAGAGCAAAATAAACTTCCCAAGGCTCTCAATGAACATCTCTTCCTGTCTTCCCTGCACAAACACACAACAGGTGCTCAAGACATGCACAGTCCTTTTCTTCACACAGAAGGTCTTGCAAAGGGCATGTCCCTGTTCCCTGTATACAGCCGGTGCCTCCTAAGTGCACGTTCTCTCCTCTTGTGCCGCGGTAACTCTGTGAGTGCACAGTCCCTTCCCCTGTGCGTTGTGTGCACCCTAAAGTGCACATTCTCTCTTTGCCTGACCGCATCTCCATAAACACAACTCTCCTCCCCTCGCATACAGCAGGTGCCTCTTAAGGACCTGTCCTCCTCTGTATACACCAGGTGCCCAAAGTTGCCACTGCTCCCTGTCTTCCTGCTGCCAGGGGCCCATGGGCCAGCAGGACCTGGATAGGCGGGGAGCTCTGAGCAGCCCCAGACCCCAATCAGAGGCCCTGCTCCCAAAGCCCCAGGCTGCTCACTTGTCAGGCTTGAGGTCCCGGTGCACTATGCCGTAGTTGTGCAAGTACTCCAGTGCCAGGACTGTCTCGGCGAAGTACATGCGGGCCATGTCCACGGGCAGTGGGCCCATGTTCTTCAGAAGTGTGGCACAATCACCACCTGTTGGGGGACAGATGCGTTCAGAGGCCCTGGGCTCTACAGCCTTGCTCCAGGCTTATGAGACCCCCCCCCCACCCTCCTGCAAAGCATCCCTGGTCTATACCAAACCAAGGCAGGGAACCAAGAAGGGCAGGAGGGAGGGCAGATCCAGATTCCTGATTCTCCCTTGGCAGGGCAGCAGCCCT